TGAGTCCGTTTGTCCTCTTAATGAGATGTAATTGGCTACTGGAGCGGAGGTGGCAATGATGGCGTTGACCTTTAGATCATCCACCATCCATGCCTGGTGTTTTTGTTTCTTCTGGTTGAATAAACCCGTAGCAAGACTGACTTCTGTGAGAAAAGGACTGAGTAGCATTCGGTTTGCAGTGGAGCATAATGGAATAGAAATGTAGGGGTTGTTGTTTTTCTCTCAGCTTTAGACTTAAACATTTCATCAATGAGGGAAAGAAGAGGAAATGTGGAAGTGATTACAATGAAAGGGACAGGGGAGGGATCTCATTTGGCTTTCTGTCGACTCTCTTCTTGCCTATTCACTCAATTAGCTGTTACTGGCTTGTGAACACAGACCTACTGGCGACGTGTGAGATTTACGAACGCAAATGTGCTGCTTATTTACTCAGCGTTAAAGGAATACTCTGCAGTTACTCCGAGCACACGAGTCCAGGTTTGTCTGCGCTGCATGTTTGTTCCATTAGCTCATAGCTAATTAAAACAGCATTACACTTCAGCTCTCTGAGTAGCACGATCCTCTAACTCTGTTTTCATGTGGAAACAGAAGGGACTTGCTCCAGCAACACTCTGGATTTAGGAAGATTAAGAACTTAACTTGAAGCTTTTGATGAGAACCGAGTCTGGTCTCAGGTCCTCCGTTGCTTTGGTGTTAACTTGAAAGCACCGTTTCAGCTAGAACAACATCTGAAGACATTCAGCCCAGTTGTGTTAGATCAGCGGGAGTCAGAGTGGGATTGCATGATGCTGATGTGACATCTTTGTTTGACCTTTCCTTTCTGTGTCAACACAGGCACAAAGCAAATCCGCCGAGGCAGATAATGTAACAGGAAAGAACAGAGATGAGTCCAGCCTCTGTGTACTTTGGATCGCTCCACAGTGAGCCTGTTGAACCTCACACTGCTCCTTGTTGCTGGAGTTTGACATTGTTCTCACATGATTCAAGTAAAGTGGAGGTGAGGCAGTGACCTGTGAATGCTAGTGCAGGCAGGAGATGGAAAACCAACAACATGTCACTCTGGTGGGGATTATAGCTAAGCATCAGGTCACATGATCTAACGCTGTTTTGAAAATCTCAGATGGATCAATATATAAAAGAAAATTAAAAATAAGAAACTACTGAAGTGTGTTTCTGGGTAAAATGTATTCTTGCCTGTTGTAGATGAACGGCTTCTGCTTGGAAAAGTGTAGTTTAGATCCAGCACGCCTAAAGATCCAACAGCTAGTCCTGGGTGAAGCTGAACGTGTACTGCTGCTGTCTTCAAGACCTTTCTTTTGTTTAGTTTTAAGTTTTATACTTCCATAGACTTTTCATTTTATGGTTACTTACATACAAGTCTGGAGTTATTTGCAAGCATAGGTATCAGCACCAGCAGCAAGTGTAGCTATTCAGATGCTTCCAGGGCTCAGGTCCAGCAGGAATGACCTCATATTCCTGCTGGAGTTACAGCAGACGCACCGTACACCAAAAAAACAAATTTACTTTACGTACATTAATGCACCTAAGCACTAATTCACACTAGCAATAATTGATATTAATTTTACTAAATTATTTCTTTTTAAACAGATCAGAATGTTTCTGTGTTTTCTTTAAAAGGGTATACAGTGATCCCTCGCTACTTCGCGGTTCGTTTAGCGCGGATTCACGACTTCGCGGATCTTTTCTTTGGAGCCTTATTCAAGGGAAATTCGCCGATTCGCTGTATTTTTCACTGATTTGCGTTATTTTTCTATGCGAAATATCAAGAAATTCCTGGTTTTTTTTTCATCAATTTCATCATAAAATGCACTTTTTGTAATAAAACTATAAAAAACCCAAGTAAAACTTTTTTTTCTTGAGTTTTACCCACAAAAAGAGAATATGATCATACGATAATTCAATATAGTACTGTACTGTAAATAAGGTGTCCCTACTTCGCGTATTTTCACCTATCGCGGCCAGGTCTGGAACGCATCTACCGCGCTCATATTTCAATAAATATGTTGTTGTCGCTACATAAATGAATGCCTTGTGAGTTGTTCTCTGTGTAAAGAAAGCTCTGGTGCCCCTGTTTCAGGAAGCAGAAATTAGTCGAAGGAGTGGGGGGCAGAAAACAGCAGAATTTGGATCTCTTGCCTCTGATTGGCTAACAGCAATGCAACTCTTCCACTGCCTTTATTCACAGCGCTGACACGTTATCACCACAAATAACACAAACTGAACCTGTTCTGTAATGTTGTGGAAATACCTTCAAGGTTCAGTGTTCTCCAACAGTTCAACAGATCCCGGACAAGCCCCCATTTATGTAACAACCCAGCAGTTTAAAGGTTTTTTATGTAATATTAACTTGAACTGATTCAACACCAAAAATTTGGATGTAGCTAGTTTTTCTAAGGAATCTGCATCTAAACTGTATCTTTGTCTTTTGCCAATTCTCGTCTCACATATTTGTTATTTCATAAACCTTTACCCTGAGATGATATTCCTGCAGTATTCCTGTATTTTAGGATGGCTTTGGATACACTTGGAAGATGCTTTTACACATGAATACATTTTAAAATGGCATAAAAATCCAGATTCATTGTGTTCCTCTGAGGTTTTTCTGTTTCCACTTTTTGTCACCAGACAAATGCTCCGAGCCTGGGACAGTACGGGAGTCTTGGCCAAGAAAGACCTCTTTTATATTCGTCAGCGAGGCTCTGTCGTGTCACAGACCTCATGACCATGTTATCAAGCAGGAAATATCTTGCCTCACATTTCCTGGAATTTGAGTGAGACCACAGCATCCAAGTGGTGGAAAAACTATCAGCATTTAATCATTCTAGTCCTAAATTAGACCATCAAACACAATTTGCTGTGTTGTGTCTTTTTGAAAAGGGACAAAAGGAGAGAACATGAATGAAAAAGGATTTGAGTTGGACATGAGAGGTTACTTGAGTTTAGTTCTTCTAGCCTGGGATCTCGTGACTTACAGTGTGTGTCCTCCTTGTGAGGACGAAGCCTTGAATAAGGGACATCAGTGTGTTGTTTACATGTAGCCCAGCATGATAAGCTAGCTCCTCATTTATAGACCCTTCTTCTCTTTATCTGGATGACAGGGTACAAGCCGAGCCTAGACGCCATTTTAGAACAAACACAAGAGTTTCAAAGTATAAATGCAAGAAAAAAGGCTTTTGTTAGGTTTGAATCAAGTGTGTTCAGAGATGTTTTTATGCATGAATCAGGGACAAGATGACTGGCTAGCAGTCTAATCCATCAGATCCTCGTTACGTCTCGCTGATGCTAGAGAACAATCTAAAACCAGCCTGGGGGAAGAAGTCTCCTGCTGCTCACTGAGGCAACCCGACACTACATGAAAGAGGGGAAAGAAAAGTGTCACGGTTGTATTAGACCATTAGAATTGAATGTGTGTTCATTTGATTGATTTAAATGCACATAATGTTGTAATAGAATGGAGGTTTCTTCCTATTTAAGACCTAAATCTTGTCCTGGTTGCAGCCATCTGTATGAATAATTGACTTTGCTGATAGTGGATGCATTATCTCTCCAGGCGCCCTAGGGACGTTTTGTTATTACAGAGAGGTGGGGGTTGACTGCTAGGGCTGGAGGAACGTGCTGTGAGGAGGACGGCCAACACACAGGAGGCTCGCAGTGGAGAAGCAACAGATATTGACCGGGACTGATGGCTAAATGGGTCACTTCCTACTGTGTGACGGTTTCTTGGTTTTAGTTCTAACACGTCAGTACCGAAGTTAAAAGATGGCAGCAGGCGGAGGAACGGGAAAGAAAAGAGAGAAAGGTCCCTGCAGTAAAACTAATGACAAAAATAAAAGCTGCAGGCTGGAGTGAGGGCATCGTGCTCAGATCAGAGCTCACAGGTCCAGCAGACACACCAGCTGGTGCTGGATTGGATCTTCTGTCCTTACAGCTGTCTTAATTCATCGTGTCATCGATGTTGGTAACATCAGCCCCATCCGATGGCCCCATCACATTTTCCAGTCTCTTCTGGTCCAGTTCTGGTGGTCCTGTGTGAGTTCTAGCCTCAGGTTCCTGTTCTTAGCTGACAGCAGACACCTGGTGTGGTCTTCTGCTGCTGGAGTCCATCTGCTTCAAGCTTCAACATGCTGTGGATCAGAGATGCTGTTCTGTAGAGCTTGGTAGGAACCGGTGGTTATTGGAGCTGCTGTTGTCTGTCTATCATCTAGAACCAGTCTGACCATTCTCCTCTGACCTCAACACACCATCATTCACACAACTGCTGCTAACTAAACCTAAACCTATCTAGAGATGGTTGTGGGTGAAAATCCCAGCAGATCAGCTGGTTCTCTACTCAGACCAGTCTCTCCGCTACCACATGTCTCCTTTATTCTGATGCTCAGGTTTACCTTACCATCTTGGCCAGGTTTAGATGACTAAATGCATGAGTTGATATTTGTGTGGAGAAACTGAACAGGTGTCCCTAAGAAGGTGGCCACTGATTGTCTATTTTGTTTTATTGGTGTTTCCATGAGTGCTAAACAAAGTACATCATCATTTCATAGATAAAAACCCATCACATGATCAGAAACACCTGCTCTTACGTTTGTTTATTTATTGATTCAAACTGAAAACAACATAAAAATCTTCCTCCTGACATGTTTCAAGGTCATCTCCTCCAGATTATTTAGACCTGTTTCAGGTTTTTGTTATTTAGTGACCAAAACATTGATCCACGTTTTGTTTCTGGATCTTTGTATTCTTGTGTTTATTTACTTATTTATTTATTGGGGAGTGGGGTCAGTTTTCACCACCTGTGATCCAGATAACTCGGTTTGGTTTGTTCTCACCAGTTCACGGGTTAGTTAGTGAGCATTCTATTACACGTCTGCAGAAATATTAAATGTGTCTTTCTTTGAAGTCCCGTGTTTGATGTGATGGTTTCTGTATTTTAACATCAGAGGTTTTGTTTACCAGCCAACGCTCTGCTCTCTCTCCTCCAGGGATCCTACGAGAGTAATGGAAGAGTCCTCAGACTAAACACTCGATGATATTTATCAACTTTTCTGGCTGAATCATGGAAGGAAGTGATGATGTGCGCCCAAACGTAACACAAGCTCAGAATGCCGTGTGCGGCCCAGAGCAGGGAGGAGGGGAAGTGGTCGGTAAGGTGGAAGATGGAGGAAACCAGCCGAATGCTGATTCTTGTGGCAGCAGCGTAGCGGGACTGAACAAAGAGGGGCTGTCTAACCACGTGGACAATCCTGCTCCATCTCTGTTGAGTCCCACCGCTGAGACTCCAGGGGGGGTGGCTCTCAAAGTAGCTACGACTGTCCTTCACCCCGTGTGTCTGGGAGAGAGTCCGCTGATGCTGCCTATCCACCTCCAGATGGCCGGAGCAGCCGGGCCTCAGCTCGGACAGATAGGGGCAGCGCCGTACTTGATAACGAGCCAAAGCCCAGTTTCACTGCCGCTGGTTTTGGACCAGCAGGTCATCCAACACATGAGTCCCCCGGTGCTCCCTCAGAACACTGCCTGCTCTCAGCTGCCCCTCCAGAACAACATCCTGTGTCAGAATCTGTTTGGTCTACCTCCAGCTGTTGACCCAAAGGTAGCGGGGCAGGCTCAGGAGGCCAACCTGCTCTCTCTCCTGCAGAATCCAGGTTTTGCAGCCATCTTGCAGGACCTCTTTCCTCCTCAGGCAGGTTCATCAACCTGTCAGTCTCCAGGCTCAGCCTTCTTCCCCTTCCCTCCCCTCACTCCTTCCTACTCCTCCTCTCTGGCACCGCTGGTACCTCCTGCTACAATTCTGGTCCCCTATCCTGTCATCATTCCCCTACCCGTTCCTCTGCCCATCCCACTCCCCATCCCCATCCCCGTCCCTCAGACTGAGGACTCGAAGGGGACCATGCCAAAACCAGTTTGCACTGTGAGTAAAAGCACTCAGACATCATCTAAAGATACTACCTCTCCCTCATCATCTACAAGGAAGTGCACGTCTCCTTTCCAGCCCCAAAACGGGTCCCCGTCCTCTCTGCCTCTAGAGGAGGGACATGTGCTGGACCTCTCCGTCAGGGCATGTCCAATAGAACTGAAACAAGAATATCCCAGTCCACAGCAGGACAGTGTGCTGGACTTGTCCGTGCCCAGTGTGAGAAAGTTGTGCGTCCCGTCAGAAAGACAAGCGGCTTTAGAGTCGGGCCAAGATCCAAATAGCTCTGCATTGTCTCTGGGTGTTGAATGTTCTCAGAGTTTAGACTCCAAACTCCTGGGCAGCCTGACCTCGCTGGAGTTCAGCCGGCAGCACAAGTGGCTGTTGGACACCAGCGTGGCTGGCTCCAGCTCTCTGGGTCAGGAGGCGTCTCTGAGCGGAGCTGGAAACCTGGAGATAGTCAGCACCTCTCAGACGGCCAAGGTTATTGTCTCTGTGAAGGACGCCATCCCTGCTATCCTCTGTGGAAAAATCAAAGGCCTCTCAGGAGTCTCCACCAAGAACTTCTCCATCAAGCGGGATGGCAGCCAGGGGTCGCTGCAGCAGCTCTACGGGATGCCGTCAGTGTCTCATGGGGACCAAGACCCCAACAACCCTCATAAAAAGGTCTCCAAAAACAGAGGTATCAAACTCAAGAAGGTCAGCTCACAGGAGATCCACTTCCTACCCATTAAGAAGCAGAGACTGGCGGCACTGCTGCCCAGGAAGTGAGAAGACTCACCGGGGCTTAATGACTCCACAGATGTCCCTAGATGGTGTAACATTACACACAAGTGGGGACATTCTGTAATCAAACATTGTTGAGTCCAATCTGAGGGCAGAGGCTGATGAAAGTCTCTGTGGAGAAGAGGAAAGGCCCGGCTCCTCTGAAGGAGCGTGCAAGCCCAAACTACAGCAGAACCGGCTGTCAGGGTTGTCTGCAGCAGCTCAGTTAGACGCGTCTTTGTCTCCGTAAACCAGCTGGTTTATGTTTCTGTTCCTTCAGCCTGCCTCGCAGGTCTGCTTCCTCATGAATGTGATTTTCTTTACAGCTGAGCTAGCGTGGTGTGTGTGCTCGGCTAACGTGACCGAGACTGTTTGAACATGTCACTGGAACCTCCAGCGGCTAACTGGTGGTGGTTGGGGTTTTTAGCTTGACAGGCTAATGTTGAGTTGGCCACAGCTTCATCGAACCAATGCCGGCAGCAGCTGATGCTCGCAACAAGAGACCGTACACTCTTACTTGGTTATGAAGCGAGACTTTTAACGGTTTTCAGATTGGAAGCGAGCTCTGCGAGTTTACTTAAGCAGGGAGACTAAGACTTAACTAGCCAAAGCTGGTGAAACCGCGTCTAAAATCCTGACAGTCCCACTGTTTGTATCAACTGATCAACTTTTACCGTTACGTTTTACACCCGTGATGTTTATGTAGGTATTCTGTGTGTAATTAGACTGTTAGTAGATGTGATCAGCCTCTCCCTCCTTCATCAGATCCAAAGTTGTGTGTTTGTGCATCTGAGTGCACTTTGTCA